AATTTCTACTCCGGATAACCGACCCGTATAACAAATTCTTAACCGGATAACAACCCGGTTAACTCGAATAACCCGGTTAAGATATCAAAAAAATTTTGCATTCCTTATCGTTATTATTAATTCCAAAAATCAAATAGTAATTCAGAGTTCTTAATTTAGGTCCAATCACAAAAAGTCTCAGTAATGAGCTATGTAAAAGGTCAGAACTGGCTAATATAACAGTATAATGCAAATAAATCGGGTTATTTCACGACTTAAAAATATTCAAATCAAATGAACCCGACTTTGATTCAAATGACGTCGTGAATCGCATTTTAACTTGATAAACCTACTTATTTTCTAAATTTTGATTTCTTATCTGGGTTAACCGGTTAACGAAGTTTCTACCCGGATATACGGTTATCCGGGTAATCCTTATCCGGGCTTAATCTCTAGCTGTTAGAATGATTTTATAATATGAATTTTCTCATCCTAATACGAACTTTCTCATCCTAAAACTAATCATAAAGAGCTGTTAGAATAATTTTATAATACGAACTTTCTCATCTTAACACTAACCATAAAGAGCTGCTAGAATGATAACTTACTCATCCTAATAATAATCATAAGGAGTTGTTAGAATAATCTTATACAGTAATACGAACTTTCTCATCCTAACATCAACCATAAAGAGCCGTTGGAATGTTTTTATAATACTAATCATAAAGAGCTGTTAGAATAATTTTATAATACTAACTTTTTCATCCTAACACTATCCATTAGAGTTCCAATCTGTTAAGTGTTTATCCGGTTAATTTCAGATATCCGGATCTGAATTTATTCAATATTCGTTTACTATTGATATCCAGATAATTAGGATCGAAGCTCTATATTTAAATTTTAATTTGACGTACATAAAATAAATTAAAACTAACAAAATGACGACATTTTATAGGCTGGAACCTTAATTATTATGTTTTTTTAAATTTTAGGAATTTATTCCAATAAAACCAATCATTCTACGTACGTATTAGTTTTCGTTGTAAACATACATTTTACCTTAATAGTTAATATTCGTAATCCATAAAAACTCTTGATAAGTTTAAAAATGTAAGTTCTTAAATATTAGTTCAAACAATCAAAATAAAATAAAATAAAATGCTAAACATATTAAATAAATACAAATAACTCTCGATACTATAAGAAATCTTTACATAAGAAAAATTTTATAAGTCCCAATTGAAAATTTTATAATAAAAAGTCTTTGATATAAGAAAATCTCGATCAAAATTTTGGTTGGACCCGATGACTTTCTTATATTGTATCAAAGAGCAATTTGTAAATATTGTATAAAAGTTTATCAAAATGTTGCCAGTTAGAATAAGAGCAAAAACATTATAGATAAGTCTTTATAATAACATCTACCTCATATTTCTTTGCGTTTTATTTTTTTATTTTTTTAATTTTTTTTTATATTTATCAAAATTCATGATTTGATTGGTAATAAAAATAGAAATCCATTATATTCATTGGTTAAGCTAGTTAAATGTTTTGAGGTTCTTTTATTACATACACAGTAATCAATAAGTGACTCGTATAAGTATTATATCAAAACCAGCATCATACTGTAAACTCTGAATGTTATAATAACAAACTTACTGTATTACGAGTCATCTTCTGATCTTATTTAATTGTGGGAACGCCAAAGTTTGCAAATCAAAGAGACTATGATCTAAATTAATCAAACTTCAAAGAAAGCTAATATAAAATTCTCTCTTCTACGTCATAATCTAAAGTATAACTGACACTCTGTTTAAAAATATCATCTTTTAATCTAACGACAGGATCACAATTATATGATAGTATGATCAAGGCCAAGATACATGTAGCACTATAGACGGCTTAGAAATAATTTATATTTTTGGTTAGCTAGTCGAATTCCATTCATATGAACAATTCAATTTCTTTTCTGCTCCACTTTCAATTTTGCCAACTTATTGTCACTTTTTAGTATACAATTATGGAAGATACTACGAACATTACTAAGGAAGTGACTCAAGAATTAAAATCAGAACAAGTTACTTTTTTTCTTTTCATACCGTTATTTCGGCTCATAGCCACAGTTCATTCCCAAGCGTAATATCTTTATTTTTCTTATTTCACTAGGAGCCTTTGCCAAAAAAACGTAGACGCACAACTACAACGCCGAAAAAATTACCTCAAGAGACAAAGCTCATGTCTACTCGCAAGAGATCTTCAAGTTCACAATCGTCTACCTCCAATAGTAAAACAACATCAGGTGAACCTTGGAGTACGCAAGAAGATAAACTCTTAATTGATAGTATGTTGGGTTTAATTCCTTCAGTTCCTTGGTCAGAATTTGCTGGAAAATTTCCAAAAAGAAATGTTAAAAGTTTACAAAATCGATGGCAATCTTTGAAAAAAAAGTTACATGGGTGAAAGAAATACTGCGTCATTTATGATGATGGCAAGATTTAGAATATTTCATTGCTAGATTCTAAATGTTTTCCCTGCTTTTTCAACAAATTCACAATATATATATATATATATATATTTGCTTGTCTCATCGATACGTAAATGATGATAACAGAAGTGTTATACAAGTTTCGATTACATCAAAATGTTGTAGCCATCCGTACATTTGTTATGTAACTAAAACGTTTATAATAATTGAATAATATGAGCTGTTTAATTTCAAAATTTATTCTAATTTTTGGCTGTCCAAAGCAAGGCATAAATTTCTGATTTTTCTTCCATGTATGGTTTAAATACTATACAATACGATTTCATTCTTCGTTCACGTCTTTTTTACTTTCATATATTTAATTAATTATACGTAAAAAAAATGTATTGATAACGATTGATGAATTATTATTATTATTATTTTTTTTTTTTCAGTAAGTTACAAAATATACATAATATACACATGATTAAAATAGAAGAATTAAAATTAAAAATAATGTAATATGAATAAAAAAAACTTTTTTTTTAAAAAAAATTAAAAAATTATTTTCTCTTCAACAAAAGATATACTTCATATTCTTCTATCCTATAGCTCTTTACGTTATCAAATGTATCCGTTTCACCGTCAATTTTTTTCAATAAATCTAAAGAATAACAATCAGGTTTACATTTAACCTCACCATCTTTCATTATCAAATCCGTAGTTCCAAAAGCTGGTCCAGTACTCTTAGATAAATTAATAGCATATTTTGAGTAAGAAACTCTACCAAATGAAGATTCATGTTTAAAAGGAGTAGTGTTAATTATTAAATTACGATTACTTATATTATATTTACTAGCTAAACTAGTTTCTAAAATTTCATCATCCTGCATTTCTTTTGTATTTGCAGAATCTTTATCATCACCATTAGTTTTTAATGAAAATACAAAACTATGATGACATTTTTCAAATTTTCTCATTAATGGTGATTGCCATTTCACAGGATTATAACCTCCAATAACCATATCATTAACATCTTTTAATTTTATAACAGTTATTGTAGGTCCTTTATTATCACATCTTTTATGAAATACTTTGTCGCTAAATCCATGACGAGATCCACGAGCTAATAATTTAAATTTATATGGAACATCAGTAACTGCATATGAAGCATCTTCAGGTGATGATAAATCTAAACCATCAATCCATCCAGCTATTAATGCTAAGTCAGCTCTTGTTAATAATGCGAAAGAAGTTTTTTTTGACATTGGACTAAGAGTCTCTATGATAGGTGATAAGGATTCATCTGATTTATTTGATTTTGGATCAGGGGAAGTATGAATTTGTAGTTTTTGTGAAGAAGAATTGTTTGTATTGTTATTATAAATCGATGAATTCATGTTAGGATTTTCTAGTTCTTGTGTCGGTGATGGAGGTTGTGAATCCCGTACTTGTTGTAACTGAGGGGGTAAAGGTTGTGATTGAACTGATCGAAATGAAGGTAAAGATCGTTGTTTACTTAGTGATTGTGTTGGTTTACGGGGAGATAGTGGTGGAGATAGTGATTGAGGAAACATAGATTGAGATTTGTTTAATTGTGGAGACAAAGTTCGTGAAGGGGTTATAGATGGAATTGATTTTTGCGGAGATAAAGGTATTGTTGGAGATATAGGTCTTGTTGGAGATAGTGGTGGAGACAGAATTAAAGTTTTCGTCTGTTGTCCAGATGACGTAAGTTGTAATTGGTTTGGATTAAACATAGACTGAGTTTTCGTTTGTTGTGACGATGACATTAGAGGTTGGGATCTCACTTGTTGTATTGGAGCCATTGATAGAGTTTTCGAGGATTGAGATAAAGATTGTGATTGTGTTGTAGATTCTATTTGTAAATATGAATACAATGTATATATAGATGTAGGAGGAGTAGACAAAGAAGAAGAAATAAAGATTTCACCGTTAGATGATCGTTGTTTGGACGAAGTAATTGACACATTTCACTGAAACATACTCATGCGATAATTAAGATTCTCATAAAAATCAAGACTATTTTTAGGAAAAATGTAAATAAAAATGTTTGTTTATTAGAATATATAAATTTTCATATACAATATACTATATATATAAATGAAAATCAACTTACGGAAATAAGGCTTTGTATGGTCGTACTTTTTCATTAAAGTCTTCAAAATACATATTTTCAAATTTTATAAGAGGAAGGAATTTTGATAAGGTCATTCGTAAATTAGAGAAATCATTAATACTCCAATTTGACACATCAGGACTAAGGAGTTGTTGATTTTGAGCTATTCCCCATTCAATGATTTTACTCCAAAGAAATGATTCATCAACTTTTAAATAATCTTTTTTAAGCAAAGAAATAAACGCTTCTTCAGTGAAAGACGTAAAATGTGGAGATTCGAAAAGAACTTTAGAATCCGTTGATAGAATCACTTTACAATATTGTTGTAGTTTTTTTGAACGTGGTCGGATGAAGATGCATAAGATGATATACTTTAACGAAATTTGCTTTTATCCAATCAGAATGATTTTTAATTAAATATGTTTGAAGGAATTCTAAAAGTTGATGAAGCCATAATATATCTGCTGCTATGAGATAATCGAGAGTTTTCTCTATGTTTCTTTCATCTATATTAAGTTTTCCACTATAAATATATCTTTTTTAAAGGAAAAATTGATTAGTAAATATACGTCAAGATATACTGTACGTAGACTGAATTGAAAGTTACTTGAGTAAAACTTCAAATGTTTCTGGAGTAATATTTGGTTGATACCATTCTGTCATAAACGAATCATTTTGATCTTTTTTGAAATTACTTGATAAAATTTTACTAGATAAGACAGCACGAAAATACAATGATCTTGCCCTAAGAATATTAATGTGAGCTTTAAAAGTTTTGGTATTTGGAACTTCTCCGGCATAAATCAATATATTATGATCATTTGATTCATCGAGAAGCCAGCACAGATCTTGTGATAGATAATCTATTGTCATCTTATATTACGATTATATGATTAAGAAAATA